TTAAGAAGTTTTCTATTATTGCCATACAAAGTTAAAAGTGCACAATAGCTCAAATTCTTAATCTTTTCTTGAAACAAAATAGTGTTGTGCAGCACAGGACACCATTACTTAATGTTTTAACAAGGCATCAACTTTCTCAAACAAAATGTTGAGTACAGTACCGTTATGGTGTCTCAAGCCACACAATGCATATTATCTTGTATTTTGAAGTGATTTCTGTGGTTCCAACTATCACAATTTTCACTTAAGTCTTGGTAATAAAGAATTCACAAATGTGAAAGTTTTCCTACTAATGAAACGTTTACATCCTTGACATTTCACCCCTCTTATTAGACAAATATATCAATAATGACCTTTCCCTAAAATACTAAAGAAGATTTAAATGAAGGAAAACTAATTTTAAGTCTTTGGTATAATTGACTAATGAAAATTCTTAGGGGGAAGTGGAAAGGCATTCACCAAGGAAAGGGGGCAATATATACAGAAGGGGAAGGGGGGCTAGGGAACATATACAGAGATCATACAACGAGGAGATGGGGGAAAGGGAGGCACATTGAAGACAAGGTGGTAGGTACATTCTGAGGGTGGAGGCATATAATGTACCAAGGAAAGGAGATGGCAGGCATATAATAAGCAGAAGGGGTGTATATAATAATCATATAATAAGGGTGAAGGGAAGGAGGTGGACAACACACCGAGGAGCAAGAGGAAGGGGGGATAATGTGAGACGAGTCATTCTTCCTGTTTCACTTAATTTAGGAACTCCTCGTCCTTTAACTATAATAATTTATACATTGAAAAATGTATACTATGCTAAATAAATGGTGAGCACACTTCAACCATTGTGCTGTGAATGTAGTAACATATCACAAGGCCGAAGAGATTTTCAGATCATTCATATTACAGCCTGACAAACATGATAGTTTACAAAATGTGCTTGTACAGTACCAACATGTATAGAAAAAAAAATCATTCACATATTTAGTATATTAGTATAGGACATGTAAATGCAACCTGTGGAATTTTCATATTGGTTTATAACTTCAAATATATTATTTGCTCCTCAAAATTAAGAATCTTTTTTTAAGAGCTCAACATTACCATGTTTTTCCCACTTTTCTTTGCAGCACCAAATTGTTTACTACAAATGTTTTGGTAGTCATCAGCCCCCGGATCACCAGTACCAGACATCCCCGCATCACCAGTATAAGGTATCTCTGCATCACCAATGCCACCACAAATTTTCATTATTGTATTGACCAATATATTACCGAAAGCCACAAAGAACTATAACAGATCGATATTTGCAGGAAAACAGACAATTTCTCAAAGAGCATGTCACACTGGGCAAATCTAAACATATTGTAACTAATATGCATGAATGACTTTGGATAAGGGAATTCGTGAAGTTTTAATGTGGTATCGAAGACATGCAGAACTTGAATATCACAGAATGCCTCAATACTGTATATATGTAGTGCAAATCTTACAAATATATAAACAGGGAAGAGTTGTTTTCTACGCATTTGATGTGCACATCAGCAGATTGGGTTGTAAATTTTGACATTAATATAACAGCAAAGAAGTTAAAGCTTCAATAATTATTGCTGTACAACTCTGGTGTCAAGGCAATGGAACAGTAATATGTAATGAAATTATATTTCATCCCCAGGAGAGATTTCACTAACAAGGAAGATTCAGCTACAGTACTCTTGAGAAAATGTTTTCTTGGCCAACAACCAACTGAATATAAATAGCATTTACATGCATAAAATCTTATGATTCCCCTTACAGAATCACTTAATAAAATGCATGATGAATCATACTAACAAACAAATTACACAAAATATCCTTGTCTTGTACACCGGCAAATACAGTAAGTTTCTTGTCATTAACGGATACAACACATTATTATTTAATACATAATTTTGATCATGTTCCCCCCTATGACAACAATAACATTAATCTCCAACAAGTCCTGCATTTGATGAAGAGTAGCCATCATTAGATTCAACCCGGGCCTGTTGAGCTTTCAACTCTTCGTATTCTTTACGTTGGAAGAATCCAGCCTGAAAATCACAAGTGCATCCAATAATTTATGAATTATTTAGGAGTCAAATATGGGCAACCTTGAGTGTACCAAGATAGCAGGAGCATACTGAATGAATGGACGATGGTCGACTGATGAAATGTATATATTTGAGTGAATCCGAGTGCAGGAGGAAGGTCAGTAAAAAGTGGGTCAACGTGGTATGAGAAAGCAGCAAGGGATTTTGAATAAGGTGAGAAAATCAATTAGAGCTCCGAGGCGACTCAATCCCGCAACCGAGAGAATCCCAGCCACTGACACTAACCACAGAACCAAGCTTCAGGAGGGGGGCCTCCAGACTTCCTGTGATTTCAGTAGAAATTTGGTTGTATATTGTACAACAAAATTTCTACTACTGAAATCACAGGAAGTCTGGAGGCCCCTCCTGAAGCTTGGTCCTGGGGTTAGCGTCAGTGGCTGGGATTCTCTTGGTCGCAGGTTCTAGTCACCTTAGAGCTCCAGTTGATTTTTTCATTCATAGCTAAGGTGGTATGGAAAGAGATAAAGCTTTATGCAAACAGTTGTAAGACGGAACTGGATGTTCAGTATTTGTGCATTATATCTATAAAAATGTTTATGATGGTAAAATTAGTGCTTTTTTACCCCCCCACACTCTGGTACATTACTACTATCCCAAGCATCTTTGAAAATTCTTCACACCCCTATGTCTTTTACTTCACAACATTTATTCTTTTTTTTTTTTTTTTTTTTTTTGAGATATATACAAGAGTTGTTACATTCTTGTACAGCAACTAGTACGCGTAGCATTTCGGGCAGGTCCCTGGAATACGATCCCCGCCGCGAAGAATCGTTTTTTCATACAAGTACACATTTTACTGTTGCGTTAAACAGAGGCTACAGTTAAGGAATTGCGCCCTGTAAATCCTCCCCGGCCAGGATACGAACCCATGACATAGCGCTCGCGGAACGCCAGGCGAGTGTCTTACCACTACACCACGGAGACTGCTAATATATTTTGTATACACCAGGTACCTTACCAATATTATATTTGCAACCTTCCCACATTTCATCATCTTCACTGATGTAATCATTTCTTACATAGGTAAGTCAGCTGTCATACGAGTTTGGATTTGTTGGTGTGAAAAGAGTATAAACACATTCACATTACCACGTCTTTTTATCACCTCCACCCAGTAAACCATCATAGTATTTATTCTTCCCAACTACAATGCTGATTCTGATCCATTCACCATTTAGCATTCCCATTTACCCATCCTCCAGTTTTCTGACAATCTTTCTTTAATTTCTCTCATTTTCTTCTCATACAATGTTTTCTCCAGCTTAACTGATCTTTTCATTAAATTTTCACTCTCATAATACTCTCACCTCCTTGCCTTTCTGTCATTCACTTACACTCATTATAGAGTTCATTATAAACTCTTCTTCCACCCATCTACAAGTTCTCAATCACTCAGCTTGTATTATTTTACCCTCTGAATTAAAGCATGCATTTAGAAAGCACATTGTTTAATATAAAATTTTAATGCTAAATGAATTGTAGTGCCTATTATATGCCTACGTAACCCTTTCCACTACTACCCACAGATGGGTATGGAGTGCATAATAAATGAACTAAAAGAAACAAAATTGTAATGATGTTGCCTTACCTTGTAGAGTCCATATGCAAGAAGACCCAGAAGCAAGAGACCTCCAAGAACAGCCAAGAGAATAACCCACCATGGCACACCCTTTCCTGGCAAGGTGTCAGGCTGGATTTGGGTCTGTACCTCTATTGTGTCAGATCTGTTGATTATAATGAATTTGAATAATACAGTTCTATAGATGTACTAAACATTTATTACAATACGATAAACTCCTTGCTCTACATGGAAGGATTTTCCACCTCATGGTATAAGTATTGTTACCAATTTCAGTTCAATATGGTCAGCTCTCCATGTTTATTCATTTAATTAAAGTAACTAAAGGTAGTTTCAACCACAAAACGAAAGTCAAGCTTTTAATGTAATGAAATGACCTTTTTTGATAGAGCCTTTAGTAGGTCCTTGAGCTAAGCCATATATTATGAATATGCACCTCTGAGCTCCGAAGCACCACCCGGAGGCTGTTTATAACAACAACAACAATTGTTTGGGAAGTTTTCATGCTTGTAAAATGTTTAATAAATGTAACCAAAGCCATCAAAGATTGAGGAAAGATGTACACGTTCGTAAGTGCTTGTGTAACTGCTTCGTGAATCTGGCCCCAGGCAGCCAGAGTGTGTATATATTTATGTTGGGCTTATATCGAGATCCCCCCCAAAGGTCGAATTACCGACCTCCAGGATGCAACCCCACAACAAGCGACTAACTCCCAGGTACCTATTTACTGCTAGGTGAACTGGGTGATGAGAAATGCGGCCAACCCTTTGTCCCACCCGGGATTTGAATCCAGAATTCTCAATTGTGAGTCAAGAATGAACCCGACTGTACATACTATGGGCCCTAACATCTAAATGTGGAAGACATCTTCCCCATCAAGTACAGTGTCTAAGAAATTTAATACCAGTTTACAGTACCGTACTTACCGAACACCAACAAAGGCCAAGTCTGAGTTCAAAGACTGGATGGTGGCTGTGGCTGTACTTTTCAACACGGCTCCTGCTTTTGCCGAGATGTGGCGAGCTGACGAGAATTAGTAGTTAACATTAAAATAGAGTTTATATTACACACACAACAATAGAGTATTATAAATTGTATAATTAGCTTCACAAGATTGTTACTTGCTTAGCTAAATGAACAATGGGGTTCAGTTCCTGAACCATTATGTGCCTCTGTTATCCTTTCCACCACCCACGGGATGGGGAGCATAATAATTGACTAAAATAACTCCACCTCCCATCCACTTCCTCTTCCTGTCATGCCTAGTACAGTAGCCAGAACTATAATACAGTATTTTGCATCTTCAGCAAGGCCTGTTTTGCCTAACAGCCAGAATGATTTTCTATATTTTCAAATACTACTTTCTAAATTACTTCACATCTAATATTATTAATATTAGATGTGAACTGTTGATATGAATTTCTAACTTCAGCCTTGAAATACTGATGTTAGGCAGTACTGAGAAATAATTGGCATATTTGGGCTAGGTCAGGTCTTATGTCGTCAGCATTAGTTGTGACGACAAATTTGTTTTACACAAATTCTTATTTTATGTATATTATAATGAAATATTCATTCATTCCCTAATATACTGTACTGTATGTGTAGGTGTATACATAGGTGTAGCCTATGTATACACCTACCTACCTACACTCCTCCCAGAAACAATAACAACAACAACATCTCTGGACATGATGGCTATCAAATAAATCTGTTTTTTTTTTTACCTTATTTGTTTGAAACTAGTGAGGTTTTGACATTTAAAAAAGAGAGGTTAAAGAAATAGTTACCTAGAACAGCAAGATCAACCTCCAACTTGAATGATAACTGTGCAGAACCATCATTCTCTGGCCAGGTGTTCGCACGGCAGTAGAGACGAGCACACTTGATGTGACTGTTTGAGCAGCTCAAGTCTAATGCAACTTCCTCTACTGCTTCCTTCACATTCACCACACGATCCTCGTCTGCTTTCTTCACATGTAATGCATCATCGTTGCTGGATCTGTATAGTGTGTTTTGGTTACAAATTAGAAGCAATCAAAACTTAAAATCACTATTTCATGTCTTATCAGTCACCATTATGATGTACAGTATAACCATATATCAGCTCTCCATTGCCTAATAATCATCAAATATACCCATCAACCTCTGTTGCTCTCAAAATTCACACTACTCTATCACATGAAGAATCATTTGTTATTATAGTATACGGTTATCATTGCATTTTGTTTAGTCATCACTATGAATCAAACCACCATAAATCATTTGTGCCACCACTGCCAATTCTATACTATTCACCTATACAGTACCACCAAGCTGCCTCCACCATTATGGTGCTACACTTGAACATTAAGGATTGTTCTGGTGTAGTTTCCAGCTATACGAAACTGAAGAGGTTATAGCAAAGCTTAATGTGATACAGTTGTCTGGATGCGATTCTGTAATAAACGTCTCCTTTAACCCTCCAGATGCTCAGCAGTTTAAAAATAACACATTGTGGTGCATCTTACAAAAAGTAGTTAAGAAATCAAATGAACAATTGCATATGGCAATTTGCACACGGAAGACAATCACAGTGACTGGAGCAGTGTAATGGTTAACCCTTAAACAATTCCAATCACTACCAGCGATTACCATTTATGCTCATATCATAATATGCGCTTCATCCTTATGAGTTATGACCATTTTTGTTTTTCCATTCATGCACACCACAATATAGGACTTTTAATTAGCTTAGCCAATTAAGGACTAACGGGAGTTGCAAGAGAGAAGAAACACGAGATAAAAAGCATATGAACACATTCGTTAAGTAATTCATAAAGAGGCATACGAACACACTATAAGTAATTCTACACCTACTCAGTATACCAGCTACTGTACTTACAAAGGCTCTTCAGGAGTCGTGGTGCTGTGTATGCTTCCACTCAAGTTATTCAATGTTTCAATAGCATTACTATTGTCTCCATTGTTGATAGTGTTTACGGCAAAGAATGTGCCCGATATGCTGCATAAAACTGGCTGACCCAAAAAATTAGACTGGGGAGAAAAAAGAAGAGCGAGTAAAATGAGTTTTATAATAAGAGTATATACTACAAGTATTGTATTCATTTCACAATAATTATTGCATAATATAAATGTCATTTATTGTTGAAGTACTTTATTTCTTTTGTCTGAAATGTTAAGATTTATAAACTATCAGATGCAGTGGCTAGTCAATACAAATTTTTTTTAACCTCAAATGTTATCCAACACTCGTTTCAGAAGAAATATTCGTACTACTGCAGTACTAATGCTGAACATGCTCTCAAGCACGAATCATATTCCTTAAACAAATACAGCACACAATTTCAATCTAAAAGTATTTACAAGTACTGGGAAAATAATACAGCTGCTCATATGAAAATTGGTCCATAACTTATAGTGACCAATTTAGTCAGCTCACAACAAAATGGTCCCAGGGTCGACTTCTGTCAGGACGTTTGGGCATGTTGCCTTACACCTGATACCTCTGTTTACCTAGCAGTAAAGATGAACCAGAAGTCTAGTAATTATTGTGGGTTGCATTCTGGGAAAGGTCTTTGGCCCAGAAAGACCTCAGTAAGCCTAATGGACTTCCTTTTTTCTTTAACACTAGGAAACCAAATTGATTTACATCCTGTATTAACCGAGTCTCATGAAAACTGCATAATAGCACATGTACATAAAATTCTAAATTTTGAGTAAATATTTTTCCTATCCTATTTTTCTCTACTACTTACAGTTGGGGCATATATCTTAATGAAGTTCTCGTTCTCCGTGAAGTTAACTGGAATGTCTATTACGAAGTCCACTTGCTCCAGGGGTGTGGGCCCTTTTTTTGCCAACTGTAATTAACAATAATAATATATATTATATATATATAAACCTCAAAATCCAACCCCTGATTATCATCATAAAATTCAAATGGGACATGTACTAATTATTGTGAGAAAAACAGTATACACATGACTTACCTTCCATGGAAAATAAAGGTTTGTTGTTGACCAGACCACACACTATAAAGTGAAGGGACGATGACGTTTCGGTCCGTCCCTTCACTTTCTAGTGTGTGGTATGGTCAACATATTTCAGTCACGTTATTGTGACTCATCATCTGCAAAAGATTGTTGTTTCACCGGGTGTAGGTCACCTACAGAAAAGGTCTTGGGAAGGTTTCAACTACTCAAAACACAAGGAGGACTATCAACAAACAGAAAACCAATAGGGATGAAAGGCCACACCCAATTCTGAGTGCGCTTTAGGCCTATGCCTCATGACAAAGTGCCAGGATGTAGTTCACCGGTATCTGGCACCTAGCACCCCAGGATTGGTCCCGGGGTGCCAGAGGCATCATTTTTGGCACATCCTGTTCTTTGCGGAGGAAGGGAGAGTCAGTGTGCTCTGAGCCACAGGGCAAAGGATGTGACGGTGAGTGTGGGGTATCTTGGGCTGATAGTTAAGAGAATGGAACTCTAAAGTTTGATCCATAGATGATACTACAGCCCTGTAAACTTGTAAGTGCTGTAATAATTTCTCTGTTCAAGCCTATTAATTTAATTTGCCTGATCTAGGGACACTTTAGCTAGAGTGTTCACCTTAATAAGCAAAACTGTTTAATTACAAGATACTTGAGTAATAATTTTAACCCTGTCCTTCATACTAGTAGGCAAACTGCTTAAACATTTCTTTGTTGTATGCTTGGTTTATTTATCAATTTACTCCTCCTTGAATCAATTAATATTAATCAGAAAATCAGTAATGTGGTAATCATGACAAGTCTAACCCCTACACAGTGAGTCCCTCTTTACTAGTCTCTTACCCCCCTTGGCCTGAGACAAGCTAGGATAAGGTAGGCAGGTGTTAGCGAGTTTAAATACCAGGGCACCTGTCCTAAATTAACATTAGCCAAGTATGGGCTGGTTCCTTCCATAGCCAGTAGAACCAATTACAGAGGTGGTGGCTGTGAGTGAAGTACTGTACATGTATAAGGGGTCCCAGTAGTACAGTCGGATTCGTTCTAGATGCATAATCAAGAATTCAGGGTTCGAATCCCGGGCAGGACAGAAATGGTTGGGCACATTTCCTTTCACCTAATGCCCCTGTATACCTAGCAGTAAGGAGGTACTCAGGAGTTAGTCAGCTTGTTGTGGGGTCAGCCTGGGCGGGGTCAATAATTTGACCTTTGGGGTGGACCTCGATAAAAGCCCAACGTGTATGAGTGCACTCTGGCTTCCTCTCCCCTGACACAATGAATTAAATTAAATTATATGTGCACCAGTAATAGAAACATCCAGGTACAGAAGTGGAGAGACACAGGTGTCAAAAGTGGTGTTAGAAATGTTGATATCATTTTATATTTATATTCTTATGTTTTTATCGAGGATATCCAATTCATATTAATTTAAGGGGGCTGATGGCTGAGTGGACAACGCTCTTTGTTTGTAGTCCTAAGAGTCTAGGTTCGATCCCCAGCAGAGGCAGACACAAATGAGCAGAGTTTCTTTCACGCTGATGCCCTTGTTCACCTAGTAGTAAATAGGTACCTGGGAGTTAGACAGCTGCTACAGGCTGCTTCCTGGGAATATGTGTGTGTGTGAAAATTAGAATTAAGGACTTGCCCGAAATGCAATGCGTGCTAGTGGCTGAACAAGAATGTAAACACTTGTATATATAAATACAGTAAATAAAAATAAAATAAATAAATATACAGTACAGATATTCGAATAACTTACAGTGAAATGATGAATGAAACTTAGAGGTTTGGTTATGTTGATTTTATCTTCCCCTAGACGCTCGTATACAACTTGTTCTTCCTTCGAGGAGCTGAAAAAGCATTAATACTGTATGAGTTATGCTTGTAGAGCCATTTTATTTTATTTTATAATAATAATAATAATAATAATAATAATAATAATAATAATAATTTATTTAGGAAAAGTACATACATAGTTGCAGAATTACAGTACAAACATTCTGTCTGATTTAAATATAGAGGTAGTACATACAATACCTAAAGCCACTAGTACGCATAGCGTTTTGGGCAAAATAAATATTATTATATATATAAATAATACTTTTAATAAATATATTATACATACCAAAAGAAAATACAGTTTAAAGCAAACATATTGTATCGGATTGCCTTCACAGATTTGTTATTCTGTCCCCCCGTCAGAGGCCTCTTGTATGCCGACTGTAAGAGTTTGGTAATCTAAATTCCAGTAACCCGGTCAAGCCGGGAGCCGGTCGGCCGAGCGGACAGCACACTGGACTTGTGATCCTGTGGTCCCGGGTTCGATCCCGGGCGCCGGCGAGAAACAATGGGCAGAGTTTCTTTCACCCTATGCCCCTGTTACCTAGCAGTAAAATAGGTACCTGGGTGTTAGTCAGCTGTCACGGGCTGCTTCCTGGGGGTGGAGGCCTGGTCGAGGACCGGGCCGCGGGGACACTAAAAAGCCCCAAAATCATCTCAAGATAACCTCAAGATAAGATAACCCTAATCTTGGGGTAATCTGATCAAAAACTGGAGTTCAAATTTTTGGCTGCTCAACTTTTATATAAAAAAATTTGGGTTTCCAAAATAGCACCAACTCCATACTAGCCAGATCCCAGTGCAATATAGAAACAGAATATTTGTCTTCTCCCAAAGAGCAACAAATTTCTGGGATAGTGTACAAATCAACATCATGATTATTGCTGCAGCTTAAAATACACCTGGAAAAACTCATCAGGTACAACAGGCCCCATCGTGGTGCTTCCCCTGATATTTCCCTCCCTGAGCCCATTATGTGCCTCTGTAACCCTTTCCACTACCGCCCACAAGATGGGTATGGGGTGCATAATAAATGAACTAAACTAAAACTTTCCCTCCCTCCCTCCATGGCTTCTCAAGATGATGATTTGGTCAATTTGGAGTGTCTTAGCATGCAGGAATAAATTTTATGCAGTGCCTCTTATATGAAGGCATGAGAGACGACTATACATCAAGGCAAATAGGGGGGGGGGACCTTTGACAAGCCGCCGACTTCCTGTCCTCGTTGAGGCCCCTAGGGTTAGTGGCCCTCAGGTAAAACCAGGTAAAGGAGTCTATTGTGATAAAGCTATATTATTCAGTCTTCTACCCATATCTCATCTACAGTCTCTGTGCTTGGAAATCTATCTTAATGCATTACTGTATAGGTAAGATTTTCCCAAAATACTGTGCAAAATTAGTGGCTTTATAAACATTTAAATACTGTATAAACACTGTAATCACACCCTGTGCAAGATTTTTTATAAATAAAAAATTATTGTTATATTATGGATACGATAACAAAAACTCGTGTGACATTTTTTTGCTTAATATGTATATTTCTGTACTGTACCCCAGAAAATCTAGGCAAACAACATTTAATGAATCAACACTGATCCTACGTTGATTTAGCATTACTTAAGCATATTTGCCCAACGGGATTTCAATAAGAATAACAAAATATTGATCAATTTTATAAGCCAGAAAATTATACAGTATTCTGAAATTGATTGTCAGATCATGAATGAATATATATATATCTTGCATTAGAGTACATTAATATCATCTCACCCATGTATCTTGAGGCTGGCATGGGCTTCAAGCTGGAGTCCCTGGCTGAATGCATTATCTTGAGGACGGATTTCTTGCCCCTCTCCCGACACGAATACATCCACAACTACATTTTGAGATTTGTCCGTCAGTTGGTTCGCATCCAGCTGCACTTCCACAACATCCTGTTGATCAAGCCTGATTGAACTATACAACTCTTAAATATCACCAGGATTAATTTAGTTTAGCAGACATCTTTTATTTGTTACAACCATTGGTTATGTTGTGTTACAACACCATAAATGTTTTAGTAAATATGTACCAGAATCACTAACATTATTAGATAAAGATGTGAAGCAATTATGTTACCTATACAGTACCACAAATATCTGAGGTATAATAATATGTAATCTGCTAAGAAATACTATAACAGGGAAATATTATTGCTAATGATGACCTTATCTCCTCTATATGGAAACTCTGATAAGAACTGACCTTTCCATCCTTGGTAATAGGGTTGGCAAGGCGGCACACAAGTGAAGTACGATTCCCTCCTGGAAATTCACAGTCGTGGGAAGACGGCAAGAAGAGTGCAAGAGGGGGAATTACCTTCACGGTCACGTTTGGGAGAAATACCGGTTCCCCCAAATTGAAGACTTCTACTTTCATCACTGGCTTGTTATCGTCACCTATTATCAATTTCTTTCCACTGCTGTATTAATAAAAAGAAAGTTTATTGAGCTACAGAGGCAGTAAAGTGTTGGTCTCAGCCACCTATGGAAGCATTAATGCAGCAAAAGTAAAACTAGTAATTTTTCCATTAATGCCAATGTGAAGAATAAGTAATTTCAATAGCCTACAAATTGGCAACATCCACGTTGCTGCTACTTGATTTTCTGGTTCACTGACAGTTTCTACATCACCCCCTCTCAATACAGTGCAAATTTATTGCACTGTATTGCAATAACTTGTAATATCTAACTTGTGGCTCAGCTTATGGGCTCCACTTCACCCCTCTCAATATTCTAACTTTCAGGTCAGCTGATGGTCTCCACATCACCCTCGCCCTTGTTTATCTTGCATGTGCCCTGCTATCTTTCCCCGTTTCTTATCTTCTTACATGTTCAATTCTATGTATTTGACTAGAGGAACCCACATCTTTTTCATACATACTTGTTTCTCAATGTAGCAAGTGGTCACTGCTTCATTTTCATAGTGCTCTACTGTGCCTTTACCAATAAGTAAAGTTACTGTACAGTATCTATCAAAATGTCTTAACACTTGAAGCCCTTTTATATGTCTGGAGACAACTCCAAAGGCATTAACCACCTCAAGCATATGGAGTTAAGAGTGCAAAGGCAATGGTAAACAGGCTTACGAGGATTCATATAGATAATTGCCACAAATTATTACCTCCATTTACATGTCACATTATATGTTTACATTTACATTACCGTCATTTACATGCTATAAGCAAACCACAAAAATCCGAGATTAAATATTTATGGGCAGACACATGTCTGTCAATTTATATTTCTAATGCCTTGTTCCTTGTGAGAGCTTCCCCATCATTAATGGGGCACCCTAATGCCTTGCTAACTGTGGAAGTTTCCCCATCCTTGATTGGAGCTTGATGCCTTGTTTCCTGTGGGAGCTTGCCATTCCTGACCAGTGGCTTTATGCCTAGTGCTCATAACTTTAGTTTGTCTTCATTTTTCACAAAAGGGAGTGTACAGAATAGCTTTGGGCAATGCTTTGGTTAACATCAATTACCTGTTATTGAGAAAAGTGTGCAAAGCAGGGAAATGAAGAGGGTGGCTGAGGAGAATGGCATATACAAAAATCCTTGTTATAGTACAGTATAACTGTACTATAACAGGAGTATATTATAACATGACTATAAGAGCATCTATACTCTCTGTACAGACAGTATTCTGCCTACACTGAGTTATCAGTATAAGGTTGTAATCTAAAAGATTATATTTGCACAAACAAAATCCTAAAATATTTGGCAAAAAGAGAGATAAAATAATTGAAATCCTGAAAACTTTTATCATTACAAGTAACAAGGTTTTGCTGTACTACTTCCTCCTTCGTTCTTACAGTAAAGCTAAACCAATTATTATCAGGCAAGTGCAATTTACAGGCATGATATTTGTGTGCATATGAGAGGAGGCACAGAGTGCAGAAAATTAAGAATGGTTGTAACGAACTGGAAAAAAATACAGCATTTTATCAAGACATACTTTTTAGTAAATCAAGCTTAAAATTACAAATATGCCTTTGACCAAATGACATAATAACTCACCCATAGCTCTGGAAACTTGTTTTTATATGCATATCCACTCGACAAGTATCGTCTCCATCCAACTCGCATCCTGTCACCACGCTTACTCGAGATGTCGTGTGGGATTGCACCCCTGGGTCGGCGACGGGCTGAGCTGAGGATATAACAGGTGCTGTTAATGGATAAAAATAACCGAGACAAGAATATACTGTACCTACTAAACAGCGAGTAGAGGTTCAAAATACAAAATAGGAAGAGGAATCACACAAGGCTGGGCAGGGGGGATCACACATGGCAGGGCAGGGAGAGGGACCACACAAGGCTTGGAAGGGGGACCACACACAAGGCTTGGAAGGGGGACCACACACAAGGCTTGGAAGGGGGAACCACACAAGGATCAGCAGGGGGATCTCACATGACTGAGCAGAGAAAATACAGTACTTAAGGACAACTAATGTTATGATCACCATCTGAAAACCATCCTTCCCGGCCTCAAGAATAATTTTTAACCATATAGAAAGATCGTAAATGGCCCAAGCTGTAATTTAAGTTAAAAAGAAACGAGTCACACACAATCTTGCAAGACATCTGGCTGTAAAGGGGTAAATTGTGGCAGATGGCAAAACAAAATGGTGCTCAGGCAGGCGGTGACACATCCGGGGTTTGGTGAAGTGTAGCGACACTGTCGCTGTTGCTCCCGCAACGAGAGAGGCAACTGGTGGGGGCTTAAGTGCTCAGCCAATCAGCGACGAGCTTTCTGTGATGTCATTGGAAGGCACCAAGCCTGCCCCAGGAAGCAGAGTCCGGCTCATTGTTCGGCGAGACTTCAGACGGGGAGGTTGTGACCTTGGGCGCTATGTTGAGGACCGGCAGATTTGGATCTTAAGTGGCGAGTTGAGACTAGAAGATGGGCAACATAACTGACCACATTGAGGCGTCAAGAGGGGCCTTTCTGGATAAGGTCATACAAATATTGTTGATGAAGGGACCTGCTGAGAGTAGAAGAGACTCGATAGTATACCAGAGTTGGAGGGAGTTGCAAGTACAGTACCTTCATTTGGATCTTGGTGGGTCAACGAGAATGGACTGACCATCGAAGCCTAGTGACAGTCCAGACCAGTGAGCGTTGGACATAACAACTCGGTGTGTGTGAATTCATAAGGAATAGCCATGGAACAGGCTACTGATGACACGACCAAGGTCATGATAAGCAAGTGCTTCCTCTTATTTTGCCTGAGAAGAGGCAAGTGGAGTGTTGACAGTGAATAGAATTAACGTTAGTATTAATCAAGGTCGAGAGCAGTCATTGATTGCAGACTTGATTGAGGCTATCAAAGACATTTATTTATGTACAGTAGTTCTTTTGTTAGTAAATATTCTTTTAGAATATTTAAATACCTTGGGGTATATGTAAATGCAGCATTTTAAATGCTGCATTTACATATACCTTCATTACAATTATGCCACATCATTTATATGTGAAAGCCTGACGGTAGGGTACTGACCACTTGAGTTCAGGAATAAAGATTTAATGAAATAGGGGAAAAAGAGCCTCACATTTCAAGAGGACTAGAGCAGAGAAATTGAAGTAATTTCTTCCATGATAGGAGCAAGTGAGAACACTGATGATCACAATAGCTGGATAACCACAGGTGTCTGAGATAGAAACCTGCCACTCAACCTCCCGCTCTCAAGGGACAGAAGGTAGCCTAGTGAGTTCCCAGACTCACTCGACTCACTAGAACCTGATGCGAGGTTCCCGTGTTTTGGGGCTGGTGTACACAGTGGTTAAGCATCGACTTCATCATGAGGAAAAGTGAGTACAGAGCTGACAGTTAAGAGAGCAGTGACAGTGTCGACGGTGGAGCTCAGTGAGGCTGTCCCCTTTGCCTTTTTCCATAACACTAACCATCCCATATGATGCAGGAATTATATATAGCTATGAAGCTCTCACACATGGCTAAGTAGTGACCATACCAGACTAATTAGGGGCAATACATAACTCTAAATAAAAGTCAAACACTAATAATTAAGCCACAGGCTTATAGTCCTCGTCAAGTTTGATGACAAACCCAGATAACTTCCTTAAGAAGTCTAAAATGACAGTTAACAACTTCAAGCATTTAAAGCTACAATGCAGAACAGGGAAGATGCTTTCTCTACAATACAGTATTAATAAAACTATGGAACATTCAATCCTTCACAAGCAACAAGTTTACCATCCTCATCACAGCTACTTTAGACAGTAGCTATTGGGTAAGTTTCACAACTCTCTTTACACAACTTTAATGAATACTTTTCATGTAAAAAATCTTTTTTTTTTTGCCTACTCACTAATTATTGGCATTCCTGGCGTCTCGACCAGTTGATAGTCCATCCTCAGAACAAGGGGCTGACGTGGATCTACTTTATCAGGCTGAAAATAAAACATAACATACAAGTTCATCATATATATTAAAAACCTATTATTTCCAGGAATGTAAAGGACCGCCTTTGGTTTGTATTGGTATCCCAGCTCTTGTGGTAATATTTCCCAGTTACTGTAATGGCCCACTACTTTTTTTATGGTAAAAAAGACCATGTCAGAATATATGTCAGCTATATAATATTTTCAGCCACCTCAAGTATCTATGGCAGGTTTGCACTAGGTAAAATAGCCAGCTGCTTTTCTGCATTTATATATTTGTTCACGTTCACATGCTCACATTTGAACTTGAGCTGGAACTCACCTTGAGCGAGACTGCGTAAGTTTTACATTGCTCTTGGCCCAAGGCGATAGTTTCCTTAAATTCCTGGACAAAGGCATTAGTGTCAGTAAAGTAGGCTCTTGGAGATTGAAATGCAGAGTCAAGATATATATTACCCGTAATGGCTGTAAAAAAAAAAAAAAAATGTAATTAATTAAAATAAATTAATAAAATAATATATCAGACTATACAAAATCTAATTAAAATATCCATATGTATTTAAGCAGTTTTGTTTTTTAATTATAAATGCAAAGAAAACATTTAGTTTAGCTGTATTGCATCACAAGATAAGACTTTGAATATAATGGCACATAATAATAAGAGAAACGATAAGGACAGAAATATGAGCAGTGGCAGACAACATCAGTAACCTTACGTCACGCATTCAATATTTCTAACAGGTTATGCTCTTGCAATTTCATGAATCGATCCAAAATGGGACTTTTTTCTTAAAGTCTTATTTATTGATTCTCCTGCCTTCTATTTTGACTTCATCTTAATTAAGTTATAAATACTGTACAAAGAAAAGTTTCGACACAGGACTTACAGACATGCCTTGGAACTTTGTGACCATAATAGTTTAAACATGCCAAGAGCTGGAGGGACGTCTCTTGAAGGGTAATCGTGGATGGTGTTGCCTTCATGGAGCCAATGAGAGCTGCAACGGGTCGAGCCTTCAGCACTACTACATGACCAGATATAAAACTGCCTATTGCTAAATCTAGAAGGAAACAAAAACAAAAATTATTTGCAAAATTACCAGAGAATTAAATTGTTCATTTATGTCAAGAACTCTTAAAAAATTAACAAATTGAAAGTTCCTCTAGAGCTCTTCTTTAAAAGGTCTATTGTAATTTTCACAAGGAGCAACAGCTTTAAGCTTTAAAAAGCCTCAATGTAAGGAAAACGGCAAATGTTTTTCCACCCATACCATGATAAACCCACCAAATTACATACTTGCCAAGGCCATAAATGCCAAGAAAGTACTCTTTATTAAGTCTACTTTATAATATAACTGGAAATAATCCTAAGAATAACAGAGTGGGGGGGGGGGGGTAGAACCTTCAACAAACCACTGGCTTCTTGTCCCCATGGAGGTCACTAGGAAAGGTGGACCTCACATAAATTCAAGTGCTGTAATTTCATGCTATTGTGAACTTGTTTAACAGAAATTCTTTTTAAGCAAAAATTCCTAAAGTAATAATTTAGTGTAAAAACTATTTTGCCTTCTTTATGTCCCATTGTTGTTTATTTAAGAATATACTGCATCTGATTTTTAACCTGAATCCAACAAGGCTACAAGAGTGACCAGTGAGGGCTTGATGCTTTTATAACTGCATTCCTCTCCATGTGTAGCACATCAACACATATCAATATGAAGCTACATAGGGCACACAAACATTCCTCAAAGTCATCTACTCGACTGACTGACCACTGTATTCCTCCTATGCATTAATAAGTTTCCAAATGAATGCCAATACTGTATACTAAATCTTTACTTTTCTCAGTTTGCAGTATATGAGAAACAAGAGAGGGCCAATTATATAATTGGCCCTCTCTTGTTTCTCATATACTGCAAACTGAGAAAAGTTTATATAATTGGCCCTCTCTTGTTTCTCATATACTGCAAACTGAGAAAAGTTTATATAATTGGCCCTCTCTTGTTTCTCATATACTGCAAACTGAAAAAAGTTTATATAATTGGCCCTCTCTTGTTTCTCATATACTGCAAACTGAAAAAAGTTTATATAATTGGCCCTCTCTTGTTTCTCATATACTGCAAACTGAAAAAAGTTTATATAATTGGCCCTCTCTTGTTTCTCATATACTGCAAACTGAGAAAAGTACAGCTTTAGTATACAGTATTGGCATTCATTTGGAAACTTTTTAATGCATAGGAGGAATACAGCAGTTAGTCAGTCAAGTAGATGACCTTGAGGAACGTTTGTGTGCCCTGTATAGCTTCATATTGATATGTGTTGATGTACTACACATGGAGAGGTATGCAGTTATAAAAGCATCACCCCTCACTGGTCACGCTTGTAACATGAGAACAGTTTAAGGCAAAATAGTGTCTCTTGGGCCTAGTGTAGATAAATATTCAATCCAATTGTGTATATATTTGTCAGATGGTAAGTAAATTACACCTACAAATTGATGAATCATTTGTGCTCTTTTGAGTCCCCAAAGCTGAAATGTCTGGTACTTAAAACTTATTTTTTCTTGTATTCTTATCACTTTAATAAATTCAATTTCTAGATGGAACTTGTAATGAATAAGCAAACACAGCACTAACCTGGATAATCATTGTTGTCAATGTCAGTTCCTCGAGACAGAGCCATACCAAATCCTGAGAGAGGCTGTTGGAAATCCTCTGGAGAAATTCGTTGCGAGTGGGCCTGCTTCAGTCCCCTGGGAGAGCCCAGGTACACATACACTGCACCATCTCCCTCCCAGGGTGCTCCCACCACCACATCTGCAAATGTCAGATATTTGTAAATTAATGATACCCCAGTACAGTACAGGACATAATAAAAATTATTATCGCATATTACTGGGATAATGAGCATGAACATTTTATAATGTACTTATCTGTGCCTGCAATGAGCAAAATGTTATAGGTAGCTTCTTGGAAAAGGTCAGTTTTTGGTCTAGGAAAACCTTGACTAACTTAGCAAGGCTTCCTGCAATGTAAAATCAAACCATACTACTGTATGGTTTCTGACCATCTTTACTGGCTTCAAAACTTAATTATACATATGTTAGGATTAAACTTGAGTGAGTAGACATTTGTTTGTCCAATCCTTATCCTATTCGGTCTTTTCCATTCTTATCAGTTCTGCAAACAATGCAATTTAAGATCTTACTTTCTCATGTAGGTCATTCATCTGGCGTTTATTTCAATTATTTTTTCTTCATGAAATTCGAATTTAAGCATACTGATCAATACACTTCCTTTCAAATATTTGTTTTCTAATTACACAATGTGTTATGCAATCACTTAAATCTATATTTCTATCCTCCTATTCCTTTTTGTATATATTTTAAGCTAACTTCACAATTATTGCTAAGTAATGTCCTCTCTAACACAAGCGATTGAAATACAAATAAAATAAGATTTTAGGGGTATCATATTCATGAACCACAAATGATTTAGGTCACCTTTTGAGAGTGAAACTAAAATAGCCTCTAACTTAACCTTGCATGGAATTCAAGCCGAGTTTTAAGCAACTTAATGTTAAAATCACACAGAACTTTGGAAATCTTTAGCGGGTGTCTAATAAATATATTAGTCCAAGACACTTTCAGTCCCTAGTTACCCATCATTACTATTAAACATGTAAGAACTAATATCTCACCTGCGTATCCATCACCGTTGAGATCACCTGGTGAAGCAAGTGTTGTACCGAACCTGGCATAATGAGTGCGTGATCCAAAGTAATTAATCTCAGATCGATGTGGCCTATCACCCTGTAAAAAAGATTTAGCATTACCATATAGCAAAAGCACGGAACAGTACTGTATATTAATAAAATATATATACAGTACTCTCATTTATGACATACTACTTCACTATTTACAGTATGCATTTTATTAATACAGTAGTCACACACTGAGCAAAACAATTAGGCTATTTGCAATACAAAAAGGCTGCAGTATTATACATAACTAAGATACATATCTCAGGGTACAATTAAAGTGGCCTAAACATAAGAAATATCGAGAAGATTCGTGTTAGAATTATTAATCTTACCCTTTCGGTCATATTCAACAACATATATATATATATAGTATATATATATACTGTATATAAGTGTATATATATATATATTTAATTCTGAAGTGGCTTATGAAATCTGATTCAGCTATGAAGAGACCAGTCAAGGCTCGCATGTACAGTACATAGTTAAATTAAAGAAAAATATGAAGCTTACCCGAACACTGAGGTAGACTTGAATTCGACCCATGTCTGGAATGTCTGCTTGGGAAAACATTGGGGAGCCCACCACCAGGTCACTAAGTCCATCACCATTAATGTCAGCAGCAGTGAGTGCAGCTCCAAAGTTCTCTCCCAGCTGTGTGCCCTGCCACTCTGCCTTCACATTAAAGGGCTGAGACTCGTCTTCAGGAAAAGCAAAGACAATAACCTGAAAATTATCAACACAAGCCGAGTTGTAGTAGGAAACCAAGTCAGAAATAGTCGCAAGGCAAAATATAAATAAAAAATAATAATAATAATATGTCCAAAGTAAATACAGATTTTCCAAGAAAGTCTTGGAAAATCTGAGACGATTGGGCAACGTAGTCAACATCGAAACCTGATTGACTCGGCATAAATTTCTACCGTGGCCCCCAATATGGTTTAACACTAGCACTAGAGGGTTCTCTTAAACTCTCCTACCTTGCCCCCACTAATATGGCCTTACTAGAGTAATTATACATGGTAAATACCTTGCCCAGGGAGCTCGCGCCGCGAGGTGCTCCGCTAGCGTAAAGAATCTCATCTTCTCTTAAGAACCTCCCCGAGGTCACAGCATAACCCATGAGATCAAAATCTTCAATATTCGCAGTGAAGTATGGGTTGGGCACCAGCTGGCTGGTGAACATGTGGTCCTCTGTTACAATAGCCTGGCGCCGCCGGCGGCGTCTTCTGGAAATCTCCCCGGGGACCGGTGGACTCACGTCCTTGAAGCGAATCACTGTACCTGCGATGAGAACGTAACTATCAAGCAATACTGCATCTGTGATTCAAAACAAATCAAAATGCTACGATTTATGTAATCCTTATTCATTATCATCTCTATCCTACATACACAGCCTCGCTCATGTGCCAGGTAAGTCTACTACGGGCTCACCATAGCCCGTGCTACTTGGAACTTTTGTTCTGAGTAGCTGAATCTAAAACAACAACAACAAAACATCTCTATCCTGGTTTAGGGGTCATTTTCACTACGCATGAAAATGCTTATTGAGGGATAAAATGATTTGCAATATAGGTATGTTCAATATTCCATTCTATAAATGGTTATCTGGCATTTAAATATAAACCACTGCAACCTTCTAAGTAATATATATTGCTTTAAAATCTCACGATAAATTTTTTGAACAGCAATTCAAATTATCCTTCTGGAAGTAAGTAATTATCAAAGAAGGCACCAATATCCTTCCTTATATTGGATATCCTTCTGGAAGTGATGTGATTTATTTATTTATTTATTTATTTATTTATTTATTTATTTATGCATATACAAGAATGTACATAAGGAATGTGAGGATACAAATATGGTAATTACAGTCTTGTAAAGCCACTAGCACGCGCAGCGTTTCGGGCAGGTCCTTAATCTAAGATAAGCTTAGATAAGCTTTTGTTCCATATAAATCGTAAACAAATTGTGATATTCGTCCAAGGAAAACAAAACAATGCTTTCCCATAGTCGAGGGGCAGTAAGCCTTATGCGTATCACTAGCTACTGACCTTCACCAGGACGCAACCCACAACAGTTGCTTAACACCCGTGTACCTAAATATTGCTAGATGAACAGCCATATCAAGTGAAAGGAAAAGTTGGCCAAACGTTTCTGTGGTAACGGTAGAAAGGGCGGCCCCGAGCCGCCCTTTTAAATCTCCACACTACTACTCGTTTGGCCGTTCGGGATCCTCCAATTGCCTCTTTCACGAGGATCTACACTTACCCTGCCAGTTAAAGACGCCAGGAGCCCCAACGATCATCTCAGTCGGGTCATCAGGGAAGTGCAGAGACATCCCAGCCTCACCGTGGGAGTAGAAGAACAGTGGTCGATTAAAAATCGGGTAGGTCTGCTTCCCTGTTGGGGATAATGAAATATAGTATTACACACACATCTAAGTAATCCAATTATTATACATGCTAATATACTATAATATACATGTTTTTATACACGCAACCTCATCAAAACACTTTATTCACTCAATGTGTCGAAGAGGTCAAGCTCTAGTTCGGTGACCATCAACCGATCGGCATGTCCTCCCCTCTTTTTACCCTCTTCCCTACTCTTCTCCCCCATCTCCCCATTGATCACTTCATCCTCATCCCCTTCGCACTCCCCCTTTGTCCTCCCCCTCTCCCCTATCTCTCAGATAATGTATTATTATGAAGCACTGAAACAACCGTATGGGTCTCTCAGAAAATATATTACGATCACTAAAAACTCTAGGCGAATCATACCATATTACACGTGACTATGACACTCGAATGGGCGTCTATAATTGCTGACATTTCTTAAAACATTTAACTTGGGCCTACCCAGACAAACTATGACCGTCCCATACCCCAATCCCCTGAAAAGTTGTGTGAGGCTGGCCCCCAAGCGCCTGCAGCCTCCAACTATAGATAGATAAACGAATAAACAAACAGACAGTCTCTTATGGGTATGGATATGATGGTATACTTACTTAACTGTATAAGCGGGAGTCTCTTGTGAGCCGGAGCGTCCAAGAGGTCTTGATTGAGCCAGTAACAGGCGCCGTTCATAAGGTAGGTCTGGGGGTAGTACTGGTTCCTCCAGCGCGGGGCGCATACCTGTGCACACACCGCGAGTTAGTGTTGCTAACTTACAATGCTCAAAGTTTAACCCAGTAGGAGGCCTTATTAGCACTTTCTCCAAAAATGTTTAACTGAAATGTAAAAAAAATGTAATATCCGTACCAATGCCCCGCGCCGCCCTTATGAATCTCTACACTACTCCTCGTTTGGCCACTCGGCCTCTTTCACGAGGATTTACAGGAGTTAGGTAGCTAAATTTACTCATGTCCCTAATTGAATTTTAAAGATTTCGGCTCAGATGCGTTCGTTTGAAGTGAATAAACTGCAAGTTAGGTATGTTCTCTTATTTAACATCAATTTTTTTTTAATGAAAATTTTTGGTATTTATCTCAATATATAACGTTTTATTTACTTACTTATATACCAGACTGTACAATAGGCTGTAAAAGTACATATTTTAGTGATTATATGACACATTCTTACAGTCAAAATGTGTCATTTATTAATTACTAGAAGAATATGCCGAACAGCGTTTTGGACAAAATGAGGTTAGGTTAGGGTAATGCACAAAAAGTTTATTTTGAATGTACAATATACGTCATGCGCCGGTTTAACCCTGAATCCTTTTGCTACATAATTTTCCCGGCGTGGCGCCTGCTTTTGACAGTTACTTGCTTATAAGGTATTATATTCATCAGTGTAAATCGTGCGGCTGTGTGAAAGATTTATAGTAAAGCGAATTAATTAGTAATTAGATACAAGTAGATATTAAAACCCTTCTGACTCCGTTGTTGAATATTGTTCGGCGAAGCCTAGAAGGAATAAGTCAAATTTCTTTAATTCGAATTTTTTCTCTACGACAAAGTCATTCAATAAATTTTGTGAAATGTAAATATCCTAACAGGGAATAACAGACGAGGAGTCACAATAACTTGGCTGAAATATGGTGACCAAACCACACATTAGAATGTGAAGGGACGACGACGTTCACAATCGACTTGAGAATGGTCCAGGACCGACAGAAACGTCGTCGTCTCTTCACTTTCTAATGTGTGGTTTGGTCAACAGGGAATAACACTAATAATCAAACAATCAAAACAAACCACAAACAACATTAAGAAACAAAATCTACCTTGCCATACACGTACAAGACTCCCTTGCTTACTTGAAGCAAACTGGTCAACACAGCGATCAAGTTTATATACAGAAATGAGGTTTGTAAATATCTATCCTACTCATGGCCAAATGTGCAATACCTTGTTGTTCAATTTGTATTTTTTGTATTTAATATCTATACGTCATAAGGAAGATGTTTGCAAAACATTAACATAGTATTTCCTCATCATTTGTATTTTTTATTTAATATCAACATACCATCAGGAAAACACTTGTGACACATTAATATTATATTTCCTCATCATTTCCTCAGCGCACATTGATTACATCAATACTTCTTATGAAACTTGCATGTGAAGGTAAGAGTTATATATATATATATATATATATATATATATATATATATATATATATATATATATATATATATATATATATATATGTCGTACCTAGTAGCCAGAACGCACTTCTCGGCCTATTATGCAAGGCTCGATTTGCCTAATAAGCCAAGTTTTCCTGAATTAATATATTTTCTCTAATTATTTTCTTATGAAATGATAAAGCTACCCATTTCATTACGTATGAGGTCAATTTTTTTTAATTGGAGTTAAAATTAACGTAGATATATGACCGAACCTAACCAACCCTACCTAACCTAACCTAACCTATCTCTACAGGTTAGGTTGGGTTATGTAGCCGAAAAAGTTAGGTTAGGTTAGGTTAGGTAGGTTAGGTAGTCGAAAAACAATTAATTCATAAAAACTTGGCTTATTAGGCAAATCGGGCCTTGCATAGTAGGCTGAGAAGTGAGTTCTGGCTACTAGGTACGACATATATATATATATATATATATATATATATATATATATATATATATATATATATATATATATATTTTGTTAATGCTCAGTTTCTTCAAAATTCGAAGTGGATTTCATGGAGTGCTAATTGTTTGTAAACATTCTAAGACGTTACAAGTGAACCAGATACATCCTTTCCTAATCAAATCAGGCACCATGCATCCATTCATCCACCCCTATTAATATCTATACCTTCTCTCTCACAATTCTTCACATTTGTCTTCCACCCCTTCCCCCTTTCACCCCCGTCTCCACCACTTACACTTCCATCGAGTCCCTATTTTCTATCACTTCCTCCCTGATGAAATAGCAGAAGTAGAGACAAAACTAACTGGAACGATCACTTACGCAAATTCTCGCTGAATGCCACATAACATGAAGAGAGAGCTAAGAGCAAGGAAGGAGTAGCTCTGCTGGTCAAAAAGAAGACTTTCGAAGAGATAACTACTGTATTTAAAATACTTAATCGTAGAGAAAGTGGTGACTGATCATGATGTACATCACAGAGATCCAGAATAGACTAAATCGTACTTTACCTTGAGGTGGTTCAGGGGATCAGTATACCTGCAGCACGGTCTTTGACCAGGCTTTCTGGTTGACGGTCTGATTAACCAGGCTTTTGGTTTCTGTTTTCCACTACCACCGACAGGATAGATATGGGGCACATAATAAATGAACTAAACTGACGCTTGCAGTCTGACGTAGAAACAACTACCCGATTGGTAAAGCATCCTTTGATAACGTTTACGTTTATACATGTGGAGAAAGGGTGTTGGAAAGCCTAAGGGGCCCCTATATTATGTTTATAGTACGTTCTCTTAGTGTATATGTTGCACCCATACTTCTCAATGGGGTTATTTTGCACATTCCACGGTGCTTCCTGGTCGCCTAAGGAGTTATTTAATTGTATTTTATTAAATGTTTACGGGGCAGTAAAATGTTCTATGTACATTGTATATAAGTCAGTAAGTTTGTCAGGTTTAAATGAAGATGATATTGTGCAACAGTATTCCACCTTTGAGTAGGTTATCGTGAAAATACTCAGAATTGCCCTTGCATCTCTTGTTGAAAAGGTTCCTGTTATCCAGCCTATCATTTTTCCTGCATCTGTAGCAGTTACATTATTTTAATTTGTTAAATAAATGATCCTCAGATATGATCACGCCCAGATCTTTTTCATCTTCCTTCCGCTGTAAGGCATGGATTGACTTTCTATATGAATTTTCTGTTTTAATTGTCTATAATTTTTCTTTGATCGTCATTATTGTTTACATTGCTCATCTGGAGCCACATAACATAACATATATTACCTCTGACTGTGACTCCTTCCTTCTTTCCCGATAGGTACTCCCTTACTCAAATTAACACTCCCCTATGCATTAGACTAAAATACAGTGATCAATAATTTGAGTAAGGGAGTACCTATCGGGAAAGAAGGAAGGAGTCACAGTCAGAGGTAATATATCAGAGTAGAGTACCACAAGGGTTAGTACTGTGTCCCAATTTGTTTCTATTATTTCACCAACTCTACCAAAGCTGCCAACACGATTCTTCACCGTACTAACAATTCCTACACAAGCCTTCATCAGAATGAAAGTCAACCCGTCAACCAAAAAGGATAGTACTTACAGCAACGTACAAAAATGTACTGTTGCACTAAAAAAAAGTTAACGTTATGTACTATTAACTGTGTAGAGAGCACGAGAAAGAATAAAATAAAACCCTAAACATTCCTAGGTCTAGGTGCTGCCCGAAACGCTTTGCGTAATAGTGGCTTTAGGCATTGTATGTACTAGCTCCTATCTATAAAGCCAACAAACTTTGTGAAATCTCTTTATGTATGTACCTTTGCCTAAATAAAAATTATTATTATTATTATTATTATTATAACACACACACACACACACACACACACACACTTTCTAAGGCATGCAAATTGGAGACTTGCAATAGTCCAGAATGCCAACTTTCTGCGGTACAACAATCTATTTGCGTACGCTCAACCAACAGTCGCTATACGCATCGTACGTTTTGGATGGATGTTGAAAACTACCTCCATCAGCCTTCGGTATACAGAAAGCTGCCTCACTTCTCCTAAACGTTACACACCTGACCGGAAATAACTGGCCCAGCCAGACAAACTTATCTCTAATGGACGAGTACGGTGGACAACAGTGTACAGTTAGCGTGCCTAATAAACCTTTGACAAGCCACCGGCTTCTTGTCCTCGTCGAGGCCACTAATACTAGTGGCCTCTCACGTCAGCTTACAGTTGGTGTGGCTAACAGTTTGCAGTTTGTGTAGCTAATGGTTTACAGTTGGTGTAAACAGTTGTAAAGAAAGTGGGGCTTTAATCTAGGGTGAAAACATTCTGCAGGTGTTCAATAGTCATTACTGAACTGTTCAAATTCAAAACGCAACAATGTGATGTATAGTGCACTTGTACTCTGTTACAAGTCTAGTATAGGAGTGATTATATTAAGTTAACAAACCAAGTCGGAAAAGGATTTGATTAGCTAATAAGTTTTTGGGATTTGATTAGGCTTTTCTCCAATCTTACTGCAGTACACCAACACACCAGCTCAAGTCAGCCTTTTTTATTGCAATGCATCACATTAATTTTGTGTTACAACAACAAAGTATTGCAGGAACTGCAGTTTCCTGTATGTATACATATATACATACATTAGTCTTGTATCGAGGCCCCCCTCCCCCCATGGTCGAGCTACTGATCATGGGGGGGGGGGGACCTTGATAATGCAACCCACAACTGTTACTTTCCTCCCGGGTACCTATTTACTGCGAGGTAAACAGCGGCATTAAGTGATAGGAAACGCCCCTGACCATTTCAGTCCAGCCCGGGATCCCCGATTGTGAGTCGAGAACGAAGCCAACTGTACTACGAAGCCCTCAGGGAAATGTAGCCCTCATGATCTTACTGTAGAGAAAGATCGTTGTAAGATTCCTGACGCCTGGGATTTATTTTTTAATGTTTGGTGTAATAATTCCCATTGTCGGAGACTGGAAGCATTATCGAAGCTTCGCTTGGCCGACTATTCACCTTCCCAGGATGCGACCCACAACAGTTCATTAACTCAATGGTAAAAGGTAACGTGCCCAAACGTTTCTGTCCTGCCCGGGTCTCTCGGTTGTGAGTCGATGACGTAGCCTACTGTGCTACAGATCACAGAGAAGGTCAGTTCTCTAGTAGAGTCACCACAACCGCACATCATAATCCAGCGTTTAAGTGAGGTATCTCAGGCACAAGGTAAAGCTGTGGGATAATGGTAATATCCGCATTATTGATATTAAATATTGAGTAATATTGTTTCCGTCAGCCTTGGTGTACGCTGAGAGGGTAGCAGAGGCCACGTTCCTCTCCAGTAATGCCGAGAACATCATACACCACACCACACACACCAACAACCTTCACATACAACAACATGATTGCAATCTCTTCAGGTTATGTCAATACAGCAGATGATACGTCGCACGGTATCAACAACCTCACCAACACGACTCCAGCACAGAGATTGAAGCACTCTGTGTTCGGTCTAGCATTCCCCCCCTATGCAAGGATCCGTGAAGGTATACATACAAAACACCTACCCGCAGCTCTAGCTAAACCATTGAAACCCCACGATATCCAAGTGCTACCTCACAGCCTTAGAAAACGTGAAGGGAAGATCACAACACCAATATCACCACCGCGGGCAAAGTCGGCGCAGTCATCATGCTGGCTTCTGAGACATACACAAGACGCTGCATCTACTCAGTGGCTCATTTATAGATCCCTACATCACCATGACAATGTGAAATGGACATCAAGACCTAGAAAGTCTGCAAACAATGCAATGATACTTCAACGCTGTAACCCGGGCAAACCATCCTTTTACCTCATCCCTCCAAAGAATACCAAGAATATGTTGCCCAAAACTCACAAACTTAAACTTCGATATGCCCCATTATCTCGGGTCTCAGCAGTACACCCTACAATCTAGCACTAATTATTGTACATCTTTATCAAACCTATGTACATTCAGTAACACCTACCTTTAACACTCGTGTGATATGCTCAACGGAATTACGACGTAGGCCTGTCTGGGCGTGTCCCCCACTAGTTATCAGGGTAAACTGCGATAACGTATATTGCCATAGGTTATTTTCCTCAGTACCTATTGAATCTGTCACCTAATTTACCTGGAAGGCGAGTACATCATAGAATCATTTCCTAACCTCAAATTCTGTATTTAATTTCTTTAACGTACGAATTGAGTTCGAGGGTATAAAGGGAAGTTTATGCACAGTTTACAAACATGGGAATATTAGTGTACAAAAAGCCACGATTCGAAACCCCATACAGCCCAAGTGAATGGAATTAGTGTACACTTTGTCTCTTCCTCAGTCTTTGACTCGGCACTAGCAGGTTTAGATTTTGGTTTATCCATCACTTAAGTGGGAAATGAGACGTGCTACATCACCACTTACCCCCGTAGCCTGGCGTCCAGCTTCATAACGTGGCTGGGAATCCAGAGACGCGCCCAACCACCCTTCATTCTTCAGATCTTGGTACATGAACTCGTTGTGCTGGTTCTGCGATACATTATTCGCTGCAATTTGAAAATAATTTAGTTTTGGCTGCAAATTTAATATCAATTAATTTGTGTTGCAGTTTTAAAATATTTTACCGCTTCGATTTTCTGCAATTGAATAATAATTTAATTTTCGCGCAATAATAAAATAGTGTAAATTTTGTACACAATTGTTAACAGTACAGAGGAATTCCTACATAATTTGATCACTTTTTTACACGTGAAAGTTGATAACCTATTTTATCTTATACTATTACCTACGAATTAAATGGTAAACGTGTACAAATCATGATGATAATCTGCTCATCACGTAACAAAATATACAACCACCAGAAGCACTACCTGTTTGATCAATGAAGAGCTCACGACAAGCACCGTCCACGAGGCTACACTTGAAGATCACCCCGGGCTCCTTGAACCTCGTGGGGTTGTAGTGGCTGGAGTTGGCTCGCGGGGCGCCCACCACCAACCTGCCCACAGACAACCTCACTTGCAACTTATATACATAACATTAACCAATAAAAAATAAAGGAAATTGCAGAAGGCCTGATGGCACATACGAAGCAGCTCGAATTTATATATAGTGTAATTTTATTTTATTTAAAATTTCATTACACAAAAAGGATTGTAACATGAGTTATATGCACGGTACATGGAGGTACTCTGGAAGTCCATACCCACCGCCACAGTGCAGAAACCCCAGCAATAAATCTACCTACCAGGAAGTGTCATCATTAGTGCGCCGCTGAAGTGCGACAGAGAACCCAAAGTAGGATTCGCGGCCTTGCGTGTTGGCGTACGGATAGGTGAACACTTGGGCCTCCTGTGTCTCCAGGTTGAAGCAGGTGACTAGCAGCAGCTCCTCCGTAAGAATCCCCAGCAGGATGATACAGATGGTGCTTCGTAGAAGGGAACGCTGAGGCATGGTGGTGGTGTTGGAGATGGCGGTGACGGAACAGGAGGTAAGAGTTTGTGAAGGAAGTCTTTGTGATGGAGGTAAAGTTGGCGACGGAGGAAGCTGTAGGGATTTAGATGATGGTGATGGAAGAGGTTAAGTTGGAGATGACAGTTGTGGGGAGGTGGAGATGATGGTTATGGAGAGAAGGTAGAATTGATGAAGGGAAGAGGAGGAGAACGAAGAGGTAGTGTTGGTAGTGAAGGAAAAAGTAAGGAGAGGGAAGGACCTGTTACCACCCGGCTCGTAGCGCCGAAACGACCTCTTTCGCTTCAACCTGTTGGCATGACAGTTTGATTAGCTTGATATACACAATTAAATGACGACTTGTTTGTTGGGTTAATTTAGTAAAACGGGAGAGAACTGTGTAAAAGGGAGAGCTATGCAAAAGGTAGATAACTATGTGAAAGAGAGAGCTATGAATAAGGAAGAGAGAGGTATGTAGAAGGGAGAGAGCTATGTAAAAAGGAGACATGCATGTGAAAGGAGAGAGATGTAAAAGGAAGAGGGCTATATAAAAGGGAGAGAGCTGTGTGAATGGAAGACATGCCAAAGGAAAGAGACCTTTAAAAAAAATGTGAAATGAAGATATAACTATGTAATCAAAAGATGTTGGAGTAGCGTGAATCAGAATGGATTGTTGTGCAATATATAAACACATTTATGTTGCAGAACATAACATTGGCATCAGCATATATTATTAATTCACTCATTATATATAAAGGGATATCAAGTCTTATACACAACACCTTCACAGTCATTACGCTCGCCTCTCAACCGCGTTCAGGATACGTGTATGTGCTATTATCAGAGACAGGAAGTCTGTCAGTGTTCGTATCCAGGTCTCCCTAGGTCAACTTCCCCAGGATGCAACCCACAACAGTTACCTAACTCCCAGCGGGTTCATATTTACTGTGAGGTGATAAGAACACGTTCGCAAAAGCCTATGGTTCTGGGGCCCCGGGAATGATTACATCCGGAATCATTGGAGTGTGAGTCGATTGTACTAACCTTAGTCACATTATATATGCTGTATGTTACTTATATAATTTATAATTCTAAATATAATTAAAAGAATAGATGAGAGGAGTTGCGCAGTATGAACCTCAGGTGTCTGTCAGTTATGTATTCTCAGTTATGAAATACAACAATAAACAGCCTGTTATATAGTAGTTATAATACTTATATTAACTATTTGTGGAACCTACACAAATGGACTGTTGCCAAAAAAAAAAAGGTTTGTACAATTTATTTAAAGCGGGCACGAAAAAGCATGCAATTAAACCGCCTAAAATTTCCTAAGCCTAGTATAGCAATTAGATGTACTAAATTAGGCCTAAGATGGCGTACATTACGCCTAGAATGACTTATTTCGGCCAAGGTCAGATTAGGATAGATTGTACGGATATTAAATGAACAATTGTAGTGTATTGTACGGATATTGTTCCAGCTTCTTCGGCAACGCCCTTTGTGGAATTCCATTGGTACAAAACGTGAACTTTTTGGTACAACAGCCTATTTTTGTACCTTCCACCCATAGTTGCTCTAAGTATTAACAGTTTTGGTGGAAGGGGTTGAATAGATTATTCGATCTAAAGCAAAACACATTACAGGAAGCCGTTGGCGGCGCCAACATGGCCGCCGACGCCGGCAACCAGCTGGAGGCAGAATTAGCTTCGTCATCCTCATTAAAGATTCTCATTCTAAATAAAAATGTTTATTTCTTAAGTCATTATTTGGCGACTGTCAACTTTTTAGTCATTAGTGGTAATATCTGAAATGGCACCTTTTTTTTATTCAAAGAATGGACATCCTAACATGTATAAATAGCATCGATAAACGTTCTGGTTAAGCAACAGGATGTCCAAGAAAGAATTTTCCTTTATTTTACAAAAGTAAATGTCAAGTTCTCATAGCACAGAATTGAAACCTTACTACGATATTAACACAAAATCTCTTTTGCGTAATTTTTGACGATTTTTGTACTCAAGTATTCTATGGTAATTTAGTACTCACAACTAGGCGAGTACTAGATTTAACTACTACACAGTGGTTCAGTTTGGTGTTGTACTTCTGGCCTATGAGCCCTCCCCTCCCCCCCACCCCCCTAGAGGGTTATTAAAGGCCTAATCACGTAAGCCTACACACCAACCAACAATAGATATCAAGCAGGTATTAAGCAGTCCACTGGTAACTACGCAATATTAATTAAGACAATTAGTACACGTCGGACTTACTTCTGATGACGTATGATAATGCTACATAGCCTTCCCGGCTTGGTGCCTTCTTTTGATAATTACTTTTTACTTCTGGTCATGTATCTAAACTTTACAAATTATTTGAATATAAGTTTCATTCGCAAAAAAAAATATATATAATAATCATCATATTTATTTCATAAATATTTCCGACCGGAACGCTTCGGTTAATATATGTATATCCATAGTATGTATACTTGTAGGTGTTTACAACTGCAATTGTATGATATCTAGTGTAATAACTTAATTTGCATTGTCCTGAGCAGAGGCTGAGATAAGTATATTATTGCCTTCTGCGATATCATACAATATAAGATCATTCATAACGATCCTGACATGCGCAGACTTGAAATAGAGGGGGGTAGAAATAGCCTAAGTTACTCTATCCCTTTGAGATGTATTTTTTTTCTTGTCTCAATAAACATTCTTGAACTTGAACTTGAACATGCACAGGGCATCCAACCACACCAATAATTATCCAAGGCTAACATGGAGACTTTATCGCTGTACTTTCGGCATTAAGATAATTAAAAAGGCGAAAGATTTATGCGTTACACCCAGAGTTTGCCAGTGCAGATTACTTATCACATGTCTCTGTATGACTAACCATCCTGTGTGATGGGGATTTTTTTAGCTTCATGTAGCTAGCTTTTTGACACACTGTACTCCCCCTTCATATAGTCTAGGGTAGCTGCACAAATGCAGATGTAACTAATATATTAATAACATAAAAATAAGATAATTACAAAGTTTAATTTAGAATCAACACGGAGAAATATGGAGGCGGGCTTTAATTATAAACAGCCTGTTGGGTGGTTTGAGGTGAATAGCCTTAGTATCAGTACAACGTCCGGTTTGCGAAAACAGAGAAAGCCTTGTGTCTGATAGCCGAGGCTTCTATATAGAGCTTAATGCTAATACAAAAATTTCTCCAAGTGTATAACCTTCCGTTACTCGGCCAGTCAGGTTCAGCCGCGATAGATATGGTTAGTAAATGAATGGATAACCACAGGAACATAGCCCCAACCTTAGCTAGAACCTCGATACGACAATTAAAAGGTTCCATCTCTGACAGGATATACTGTCAGAGACAGTATATCCAATCAATCAAGATACTGTGAGTCGAGGCAGACGCAATAGTTCATTACTCATCTCTACCCCTCTCTGCATAATGCATCGAATTTTGACGTCAATATCGCCCACGTCAAAATTAGATGTACTAAAAATCATAATGGCTCGCAAAATTGACGAGATGTCCAGTATTCTATTCGTGGGGCTGTTGAACCTAACTCTGTTGGGTTAGGTTCGGGAGTTCATCATTGAACTAGTTCATCATTGTTCATTATATAATTTGTTCATCATTGATGAAATGAATGTTCATGTTCACTAATTCATCACTGTAGTGAGGCTGTGAACGCTGGAGACGACAGGCTGCTCTACCGCCTCAAGAGTCTGCACAATTAAGTGCCACTCAACTAGTGATTCACTAAAACATAAAACAGCACGTAAGTGTTTAATTATATATCTGATGTGTTTTTTCACATTAACTGAAGTTATCACGTCTTTTGATTCACGCTTGTGTTAATCATGATACTCATGCAATCTATATAATATCATCACCTCATTACACCCACACACACACACACCGGCCAGCCGAGCGGACAGCACGCTGGTCACATGATCCTGTGGTCCCGGGTTCGATCCCGGGCGCCAGCGAGAAACGATGGGCAGTTTCTTTCACTATATGCCCCTGTTACCTAGCAGTAAATAGGTACCTGGGAGTTAGTCAGCTGTCACGGGCTGCTTCCTGGGGTGTGTGTGGGGAGGGCGGGGGGAATACTGGTAGTAGTAGAAACAGTTGAGAGGTGGGCCGAAAGAGCAGAGTTCAACCCTCGCAAGCACAACTAGGTGAATTCATACACACACAAATAAATTTCTTCAATGCAGGAACAGTAAATAAACGGAATGAACTAGGAAGTAAAGTGGTGGAAGCCACTTTGCTTCAAGCAAATATATAACAGATTAGAGTTCAGGAACCTGCATACCAGTCGACTCAATGTTGAGAGTCAAAAGGGCTGGAGCTCCACCATCGCAAGCATAGGTAGCAGAGTACATACACGTACATACACAACAATTTAACGATAAAAAAGCGGGTAAAACAAAATGAGGAGAAACTTCACATTCTTTAAAACTGAAAAAAACTCGGTTCCAGATAACGATAGGCGTGAGTAACCGAAAGGGAACTGAAATGGGCGAAAGAATACCCATCAGAGAGGAGGCAGAAAATCAGAGCAAAGTTAGAGAAATCACACTGGAGTAGGATAAGAAGCGGAGTTCCCAGAGGATCGGTTCTAGGACCCATACTACATTTACGTCAAAGAGCCTAACACTCCTACATGTCAATTTTTGCGGAGAAAGCAAATTTAACGCGAAGAACGTGGACAGACAAAGACCAGAATATTCAAGAAAAACAAACAGATTACGGATTTGATTCGAGAAATAGGTTACTGTAATGCATTATCAGTGTGTAATGAAAATGAGGTCAGGAAACGGGAAACCGCAATTAAGATTGAACTATCTCTCAAAAACAAGTAAGAGAAAATTACCTAGAAATAGATATAACACCAAGTCTTATTTCAAAGAAACAGATGAAGAGAATAACGTAGGCGCTAAGTATTCATGACACTGCGTGCCACCTACGCGAGACCAGTCCTAAAGTACGCACCTCCAGCATGGTTTCCCTCTCAAGACGCACATAAGGAAACTTGAAAAGTTCAGAGGATAGCGAAGAGACAGAGAGAAGACGTGATAGACAAATAATTTAGAATAACTGACAATAGAACGATAGAACATAGATGGAAGCTAGATACAAAACAATAGAAATGCGAGAAAATACTATTTTAGTGTTAATAGTAAGAAACGAAGTCTGCAAAGGCGAAGTCCACGAGTTAATTCTATATTTTGCAGGAACAAATTAGTATATACAAGCGCACGCGCACACACACACACACACACACAC